CATGACTGTTGAAAGATAGTCCCATGAGAGGACATGATAGAGCGCATGGCAGAGGATAGGTACTCTTTGGCACAATCAGAACGAAAAACTTTAATACGAGATTGCCATTGAGTGAAAATCATAGCAGTGAAGGCTTGATAAGCAGTAAGTACGTCAGAGCGATTCTTAAGTAGGTAAACCCATGTAAAACGAGAGAAATCGTCGATAAAACTAACATAATATAAGTAGCCAGATGAAGAAGGCAAAGGAGCTGGCCCCCAAATATCAGAATGTACTAAATCAAATAAGGAAGTGGATACAGATGTACTCATTTTAAATGGTAAAGCAGTGAATTTAGCCAATTTGCAACCAGCACATGACTCAATACTAGAACTAGATGATACAGGACCAAGTACTCCAGACTGAATAAGACTCTCCAGCCTTTTATTACACACATGACCAAGTCGTCTATGCCATAAATTGGCAGGAAGCGAGGTAGAGGGTTTTGACGAACAAAGAGAAGCAACAAGAGAACGTGGACGTATGGACTCTGGAAGGTGAAGATATTCCAGAAAATACAGTTTGTGCCTCCTACGACCCGCCCCAACCGTCTTGCCCGTCTGTGGATCCTGCACAATACAAGTATCAGAAGAAAATGAGACAAACAGGCCCGCCATGCATAAAGAGCTAATAGAAATTAAATTCAAGCACAATTGTGGAGCCACATAGACGGGACCAAGTGTTAGACGACCAGATGGATCATTTTGTGGGGTAATAGAGCCATACTGAGTAATGGACAATGGTTGTCCAGCAGCTGTGTAGATAGGAGGAAGAGAGGATGAAGTAAAGACAGAGGATAAAAGTGAGGCATTACAAGTCATATGAAAGGAACAACCAGAGTCAAAAATCCAGAGATCATTCATACCAGAGACTGAAGGATTAGCTGAAGAACCAGCAAAATGCATACCAGAGAGTTGTGCGGCGGATGTAGAGGTGATATGTTGAAAAGCATCAAGTTGACGGCGAAGACTTTCAATAGCTTGAATAGTAGAGTCTGAAGTAGTAGAAGGTATAGCATTGGCCAACAATCCTGGTGTACGAGAGGGTTGAGACTGAGGGGGTCGCCGACCACGTCCAGTACCTGAGGAACGTAACTCAGGATGAAGCTTGAAGCATGTCTCAATGCGGTGTCCTTCCTTCTTACAATATTTGCAAGAGAGCTTAGATCGAGCCTGTGGAGAGGGAGCCTGTGGAGAAGTATAATTCATAACAGGAGCAGTGACAGGTACAGACAAAACAGTCTCGAGTGAAGAGGTAGGAGTGTCTGTTGACAAATTGAGTCGTGCTGTCTGCTGCCGGGTCTCATAAGCAGTGAGAGCTCCCATAACTGAGGCCAAAGTCGGAAATTGAGGCTGGTGAAGTAGTTGATCAGCCATAGTTGAATATTCAGGAAGGGACTGAAACAATTGATGCACCTCATGCCGTTCGTACCAGGCTAGCCAGTCTTCATATGTGGAATTACGTCCAGGAAGCATGGAGCGTAACTCTGTCCAAAAAGCTTGCATTTGTCCAAAATGGGACTGCAGAGATGAACTACCTTTGCGTTGTAGAGAAATGCGTTGCAGAAGATATGCCTCCCGTGCACCCGAGCACTCAGTGAAACGCTCAGTGAGACGAGTCCACATGGCCTGAGCAGAGGGAAGCGAGCCAATCTCGACAGTGAGACCAGAGCCAACACAGCGAGTGAGATAATCCATAACACGAAATTCCTGCAATTGCCACTCTGAACTCTCCTTGACATAGAGAGCACGAGCAGTCTGAAGATCGACATCACCACTGCCAGAGGCAATAGTACTGGATGAAGCAACAGTGCTGATGGACGGTGGAACTGGTCCCGTACTGGTGAGATGATCAAGCAAACCAGCGCCACGCAAGGCATTGGTGACAATGGTGGACCACCCTGCCCAGTCACTTTGATCATTGAGGGGCAAAGGTGGTTTGGGAATCTTCTCTGAAGGAGCCATAACAGCAATCTTGAGACGTTAAGATGTCGAGATGCTGTTACTAATGTCGTTCGTTTGAGGCCGAGAGACGGCTTGAAACGACGATGCCGTTAATTTGAGACCGAGAGACGGTCTTGAAACGACAATGCCGTTAAAATAGAACCCGAAGGTTAGAATGAAACCCGAAGGTTTAAAATAGAACCCGAAGGTTAGAATGAAACCCGAAGGTTTAAAATAGAACCCGAAGGTTAGAATGAAACCCGAAGGTTTAAAATAGAACCTGAAGGTTTAAAATAGAACCCGAAGGTTAAACGAGAACGCGAAACGCGTTAAGAGGCCGCAAAACGACAAGGCCAAAATATCTGGCAGATGAACGCCAAATAATTAAAAATAAAAATAAAAAAAATAAAACATTAAACGGCTGCAAAGCAATAAGGCCAAGATTTGGCAAAAGAACGCAAAAGCGTTAAAAATTTTATTGAAAGGGAAATAGCCCTAGCTCTGATACCATGTTAAAGTAAGAGAGAGAGAGAATCTTGGGTAAATTTCCCTTGAATTGAATATTGAGTGTGCACATATATTTATACAAGTAGAGGAGTGTGATGTTTGTTCTCCCAAGCAATGTGGGACTAAAACCCACTACAATACACTATTATCAACAGCTAGTAACACTGTTAGGTCAATCATAAGACCCATAGAAGAATACAAAAAATAACTTATTTTTATAGTTTTTTCTTCCAAATCTCATATTCCAAACATTCCTCGGACCTGATGTGCCTCGGCTTACTCGAATCATCCGAGTCACACGTGCTCCGTCGTCATTGACGACCCTCGACCCAAACCGCTTAAAGTTGAGTCGGAACAAATTAGAAAAGTCAAGAAACCCCACAAATACATTGACCCGCTACCTAAATCCGGGGTCCCACCCTCTCTAGAACGTTGACTGATCTAAGGACCTCCACGATCTCATCCCTGACCTCAGCATGCATTCATTGATTTCATTTCTTTTCCACCCGCATTCAAAACTCTATTTACGAAAAAACCCGTCCACTTCTCCAGTAATGAAACTACATAACAAGGACAGGACGATGACAACGTTCCACGTGCGAAATGAACTTGGTGTGACGATTATTCCACTCTGGTTCGTTTTCCCCAGCTCGCTTTAATAAATCAAACTTTGATTAAAGCAACGCAATTAGAAGCAGATCATGAGCGCGGCAATGGCTTCTTCAACAGAGGATCTCCCTCTAAATGAGAACGACTCGCAGGACATGGTCCTGTTCGAGGTCCTCAGCGAAGCGTCGGCCATCGCCACGTCGGCCGCAACAGAAACAGCACCGTCGCGACGCAAGCAGCATGGCAGGCAGCTTATGGGGCACGTGGGGAAGAAGCACTACAGAGGGGTGAGGCGCCGGCCGTGGGGGAAGTATGCGGCCGAGATACGCGATTCGTCGAGGAATGGCGCGAGGTTTGGGGGTCGTCCGGTGCTGGATAACACAGAGTGATTGCGAGAGGAATTTTGAGATGTTGAAGTTCAGAAAAAATTTAAAGGGTTTCTGCGCATACACGTCTCAAATCTTCCATATTTGGAAAATTATTATCCCTCAAATCTTGGTTTTTACAAAACTATCCTCCAATTCTCTCCTGTTGGGTTTCATTCCCCTTGGTTTAACGAAGTTGTTTTCTTAGCAGGCTAACACCATAAAGAAATCCCAATAATAACATGTTTGCAATATTTTTCAGTTTGAAAACTAAAATTGTTAAGCGGGGAAGGCAGAAAAAAAAAATCAATGTGAGATAAGTGAGAGGCAGTTTTGTAAATATCAAGATTTGGAGGATAACTTTCAACTAAGAAAGATTTGAGGGGTATATAGCAATAATCCCGATATTAAATTAGGAGAAAAAAAACTAATTTGATGCTAGCGATTAAAGTTGACTGTTGTAAATGAGCACGTAGGCTTCCTTCTCGATGATTTTTCATTTCTAAATTTCCTTTTTTCTTCACTTGAAAGTCAGATGGAGCGTGTGCATTCCCACGTCGTACTCAACCTCTGTTTTTTTAAAGTCGGCCATCTATGAGCATCCTACTGATCGTTTGAATTTGTGGTTACCTTTTCGAATTATAATTCTTTCTCAAATTAATGAAGATGGATGACTGTATCGTAAAACAAATTGTAAGAAGTTGGAATGACGTTAACCATTATAAATTAGGTCATTATGACCCTTGATAACGTTCATATTTCTCCGGAGAAATGAATTATGGTAGCAGTTTATTTCACAAGAAAATGAAGATTTGCAATAAGAATTATCAAGAGAAGGAAAAAAAAACCCTACAGAAACACACTCTTTTAGCATCAAATGCATAAAGGAAAGAAACTATAAACAAAAGTTTCAACTATAATGCTATAATATATGCAGATACATTTATATTATTATTGCATATCAAGGAGAAAAGGGCTAAAAAGTAGTAGAGCGTGTATATAGAAAATATTAGACAAAATCATGTGGCAAATCATGTTAAAGAATGTAGAATATTTGGACCAAAATTTCAGATCTCTAAGATTAGAATTTTCTTAGATTATCAATTGTCCAATAGACATGGTCTATTGAATAATTTCTTAAAACATTAAACCTATCACATTAAAAAAAGTTTAAACTACTCTAAACCCCCAAGTAAACCCCGATAACTTTCAAAATTGCTCTAAATCCCCGGTAACTTTTATGCTTTACAGAAAATCCCCGATAAAGATTTTCATTTTGCACAATAACCATCAAATTAGAAAGAAAAAGCAACATAAAAGACATTTTGAATGTTATCGGGGGTTTAGTGTAATTTACCCAAAAGATATTTGGTGTTATATCCAAAATCATTGGGGGGGTTTAGCGCAATTTGGAAAGTCATTGGGAAATAGTTTGGGGGTTTAGTGCAATTTACCAAAAAAATGAATTACATAGCAGTCTCATTAATTTTTTGGTTAAATGAAGCCGAAAAATAACCCAAAAACATAAACCGGCGATGATTAAAGGTGCTGGAAAAAGAGGCCAGTTGAGTGCACCAACGAGAGACTCATTAGATACAAACCCCTGCGTGCAGCTCGTTTGATCATCAGCAGATCAGGACCAGATCATGATCACGAGGGCTAATGGCGGCGGCGGCTGCTGCTGCGATCACCTCGCTCTGCTCCTCGCGGCCTCGTCTCTCTTGGTTCGCGCTTTTGCTTCCCCTCTTCTTGGGGTTTCACCTCAAGGTTCTTCTATCTCTTCTTCATTATTTCTTTTTACTCCTTTTTTTGGAATTTTATGGAGAAAAGGAATCAATAGGTTATACTGACTTCAGATGAGAAGTATTATTTGGACGGAGCGGTGATCTTCTGCAAGGATGGGTCCAAGTCTTTCCCGAGGAATCGGCTCAACGATGGATTCTGTGATTGCCCTGATGGAACCGACGAACCTGGTAAATTTCCATTAATCCCCCTAATTTAACTCATCATCATCATCATCATCATCATTCCTACTTCCTGTTGAACTAGCTGTTTTATTTGGAGAGGAGAAGATTTAGAATCAAATTTAAGCAGTTCTTTAATTGAAGCACCAGTTTCCATAAAATTAGGGTTTTTGTGGTGAGCAACTCCGTGAGTAAGGATCGATGGATATTATTGTTGAGATTTGGCAATTGACTGTCATATTGATGTCAACATCTACCGTTTTGGTGCTTAATTCCTTGTCATGGGAGCTTTGGAACTGAATGGGAGCTCGAAAAACAAGACTTATTGGCTGTGTAGTTTGAGGTCAGGCTGCCACGGAGGACCTCTCGAAATTCTCATAGGTGAAGGAAATCTGACAAAATGATGTAAGGGGCTGTTTGGTTGATGTATTTGGCATTGTGGGTTGGGCAGAAAACCTGTCAAAAGAACACTTTTGACAGGCTTTTTGCCCAAAACACCTCTAAAAAAAGGCGTTTTGGGCAGAAAGCCTGCCAAAAATGTTCTTTTGGCAGGTTTTCTGCCCAACCCCCAATGCTAAATACATCAACCAAACAGCCCCTAAATGAAACTAGCTATTGAAAATTGGTCTCTGCAACATTAACGCTAATGCATTGAAGAGTAAAAACCTTGAAGCTTTTTTGATTTTCTTTTTCCGGACAAACATTTATGATGTAGATAAGTAAGAAGCAATTATTATCAAATTTGAAACTTGTATTTACTATTTTTCTTCTGTAGGCTGATATGAGTAATTGTAGGCGTCTAAAAATGCCTATGGGTGTCCGCACACAGCTCGAGACGGAGAGAAGACGATGAACGTCGTTATCTGAGTCTAAGAGGATTATCTGACGTTGACAAACACCTGAAGCAAAACAGCAAACCGAGTGGCCTGCACGCTTATCAATCAGCTCGCGCGCGTCGGTCAACACGTGCGCGTCAATCAGCTCGCGCGCATCAATCAACGCGCGTCCGATAATCAGTTCGCGCGCGTCGGTCAACACGCGTGCATCAATCAACACGCGCGTATATCAACCAACGCGATTTCGACAGTCAATCCCGCAACGAAGCATGCAAGTCAACAAGACGGTCAAACATGCAAAACGGTGGAAAATACAAGTCCCGGAAGAGTAAAAAAAACCAAAAGAAAGTGTCCCCGCGGGTCAGATTTCTCCCGCGCGCTGTTTTGACCCCCTGTTCGGTTTTTGACGGGTTTTCTCGGGATTTGTTGGTTCCTGAGCATCCCAACTGATCTGATATCATCCCCAAACATTGTTAATCAGTTATTAACTGAAGATAAGGAGGAATCATTCATTCTTATCCCAAATAACCGCTTCCGAAGCTTATAAATACGAGCTCAGGTGCTCATTTCTCAGGGGTGATTGATTATCAAGACGATGAGGTGCTGCCGGATTGTGGAGTCAAAGGAGCACGGATTTCAGTGAGGGTTGACAGATATTGACGAGTTCTTCGGCATAAAAAAGGAGAGTTCGAGAGATCCGACACCCGTTCCCGTCCGTTCCTCGAGATCAGGCTTGGTCTTGATCTCGAGAAGAGTTCTGATTTTGCTTGGTCGATCTCAGCGCTTCAAATCAAATACTTCCTCGGTGAAGGCGAAGCTCTGTCGAATTTTTCATCAATCGGATTCAGATCAAAGGCGGTCCACGGATAAACCCCGGCACAGGCAAAGATCCCACGCAAGTAGAAGACCGATAAACGATTTCTGCGTTTGTTTAACGAGAATTGTATTTTTTTTTTGTTTTCATTGTGTAAAAGTCTTATAAAAAGACTATCTTTTTCGTTTTCATTGTAACGACCGAAGTTGTAATGAATACCGTAATGAATACAATAATTTTTGACGCAAGCAAACTGGCGATCACAGTGGGAGGGTCGGACTCGAGTGACCCGCGAAGTGGAGGATCGGATCCAAGTGCGCAGGTCACTCAAATCCGACCCTCCACTTTGCGGGTCACCCGAATCCGACCCTTCAACCCGCGGGTCGCCCAAGTCTGACCCGCGTCAGAGTCAAGACAGAAGACGTTCTGCACCGGTTTTGTCGATCCTTTCGAGTTTCGCACCTCTAGTGGAACCCCGCGACAGCGTGGATTTATCCCGATTCAAAGTGAGGATGGTCGATCGCCTGGGTCCTTTGCATGAGGATCAAGGCAAAGTTCTGATCGAAGAACGCTTGGGTCCGGTGATTGAACCCCGAGCGACTCGTTGAGCTGGGGGTCGCAGACGCCCTCGCAATAATTTCAAACCTTCTCATAAAGGGAAAACAACGGTTTTCACCCGCCTGGGGGTGTGTATCCAAAACTAGGAGCCTATTGAGATCCTGCGCTCCCAAAAGCGTAGTTCTAAACACGTGACTCTTGAGAATGCTAATAAAGCGGCAAATCCCCTGAAAGAAACGTATTCATCTGACAATGACAACGTTATACCAGGTGATTCATGTCAACACCCGATAGGTTGCTCCGATCATCTGACCGATGAGTTGTATTATCGGGCGGGGGGTACGAACAAATCTCGAAAGAGAAGTACCCAGAAAGCGGACCCTCACTGTCCGTGCGCTAAGATTATCAGGACAGTATTATCAGCGTGTAGTTGCCCCAAAACTGCTCCGCAGAGGGTCTCGGTATTTGAAAGGATCTCCAACGAAAATGCTAAGTCCAATCTAAAGCGTCTCCGTAAGAAACGATTGGTCACTCAAGGTGACGAACCCCCAGAGGTTACCATCAATATGGTTGATAAGGGAAAATCAATTCGACCTTCTAGCTCTGATCCGCTTGTATCGCATCGTCTAACCCGGTTACGATCAGGAACTATTAGACAAAGGGACTTTATGAGAATACAGAGAGGGTTATCCTCGGATGATGAAGCATCGGATGCTAACTCGGTAATCGCTTCTGATAATACGGTATCCAGTCCGGGACAATTCCGTGAAGTGTTCATGATCAACACCGAGTAAATCGCTAAAATTCTCGAGGATGCTCTAACCAAACAGAAAGAGGCATTCAAGATCGAAATGGAAATGACTATGCTACGAATGAGGGAAGAGCATGATCAACAAATTCGGGCTCTGTCCAATCAGTTCGGTGAATCCAGCCGTCGTAACCTTGCTGACCAAATAGGTAGCGATTCAGATGTGGATGAACATCTCGATACTGAGAACCCTCCCCTTGACCAAAACGCTAGGGGTAGTCCTACTAATAATGACAACACTGGGGGTGGTCCCGTTATTCCTCTTAAGAATCGTCCAAGCCCCGATACGAGCGAAGATGAGAAAATAAAAGATCTCGAGAGCAAAATTAAAGCTCTGATGTCTGCTCGAGAGGTGAAAAGGACCGGTATTTCGTGTTCATATCCGAGAGAGTGAGATTCGATCCCGTATCTGACGAAGTTTAACCTGATCAAGTTCACACCGTTTGATGGGAAGGGTTCGCCCACTCAGCATTTGATCTACTTCAAGTCCCACTTGGGCATGATCTCCGGTAATGAAGCTTTGATGGTTCGGTCATTCGTTGGTATCCTTCGCGGGCCGGCCTTCGATTGGTACCGCCGTCTCAAGCCCGTAAGTATTAACAACTGGGACGATATGGAGAGTTCATTTCTCGGCAATTTCTTTGACGACGACGACGAGGTATCCATCAGGATACTTTTTGATGAGAAACAAGAAGATGATGAGACAGTCGACGACTTCGTCAAGCGTTTTCGGAATAAAGTAATGAACTGCCGAGATCCGATCACGGAGGATTTCATCCTCCAGACATGTCATAACAACATATCTATTGAGATATTAGAAGTTATGGGAGTCGCACCATCCAACATTTGGAAAGACTTGAAGGTGCGCGGCGAACAAGCCGAACGCTTCCTCCGAAGGAAGAAGGCCGAGAGGAGCCAACCGACGGCTAATCCTCCGAACTCGAACTTCGCCTCCCGTGGTAAGGGCAAAGCACCTGCAGCTGCTGTTGGTGCTAATCAAACGTCACAACAGCAATCCCGAAGGCAGCAAAAGACTTCGGACCCGAGACTCCAAAAAGAGTATTCCTTCAAGGACGAAGACGTTCCAGCCATCTTCGAATCCCTCCTTAAAAACAACAAGATCAAGCTACCACCTATCGTAAATCAGGAGGAAGCTGATAATACTGCGGATCCAAAGTACTGTGCGTAAGATCAAGCTACCACCTATCGTAAATCAGGAGGAAGCTGATAATACTGCGGATCCAAAGTACTGTGCGTTCACAGGAGGGTCCTTCATTCCACCAAGGATTGTTTTGCTCTTAAGAATAGCATCCAAACCTTGGTTGAAGCCGGCGTTATATCGCTCAATTAAGTCAAATGAGAATGGCAACACTCCGACAAGTATAAGAGTATAAACTGCTCCTTCTCACACTCCGACAAGTATAAGAGTATAAACTGCTCCTTCTCACACTCCGAAGAGTATACGAGTATAAACTGTTTCTCAATACTCTAATAGGTATATGAGTCTAAACTGTTTCCTACTGTTGACGGGAAGTTCCTGGAGAATGTTTATATGTAATATTCTTAAGGATAACCCGGTCATGTAACTGAATATAATATCCGAACCAGTTCCGCAAAGAAAGCTGGGGGTGGATGATTTATGTAACGGGAAGTTCCCGGAAGAATGCTACATGTAATTTTCTTAGGGTAACCCGATCATTACAAACAAAGTGATGAACACTAAACCCCCACTGTGATTTCCGAACACTCTTTTTCTGAGACGAGATTCGATCACTTCGTTGGATCAATCTTCCCTCACAAGATTTCCATTGGTGTTTGACGACTCACAGTCTTCCATCACAAAATCCCCTATCGATCAGACTAATTAACGGTGGCACCACTAAAACTCCTTTCGCATTGAACTCACTCAAACTTTTATGTGTTTGTGCACTCAACATTTCCATTATTAAATTTCGGACATAGTACTTGGAATTTCAACATCCTAATCATTGACGATTGTCAAACCCCTCCGTGCTAAGTATTTGTTACTTAACACCAGGAATCCCCTTTGAGTGATTTGTACGAATCAACACTCCTACAGTAATTTATACTCCCACTCTCACTTGGTCAAACCTTCCTACAGTTAGGACCACATTCAAAATCCCCTCTCGATTCCTTCAATGAACGAGAGGTTCATTTTCAAATCGAGCGATCAAACCTTCCTACAATTAGGATCGTCTCAAACCTCCCATTCGGTCAAACCTTCCTACAGTTAGGACCACAATCAAAATCCCCTCTCGATTCCTTCAATGAACGAGAGGTCCACAAATCGAGTGATCAAACCTATAAAAGTTAGGATAATCTCACACTCCTACTCTCACTTGGTCAAACCTTCCTACAGTTAGGACCACAGTCAAAATCTCCTCTCGATTCCTTCAATGAACGAGAGATCAATTTTCAAATCGAATGATCAAACCTTCCTACAGTTAGGGTCACCTCAAACTCCCGCTTGGTCAAACCTTCCTACAGTAAGGACCAAAACCATAATTCATTCTCGATAAACGAGAAATCCATCTTTAGTTCGGTAATCAAACCTTCCGACAGTTAGGGTTATCCGAATCTTTTTGATTCTCGGAGTGGAGATCCCACTCTTAGTTTCACATTCTCGGATCCTTGAAGTGGAGATCCCACTTTGAGTTTCTTTTTGCAACTGGAGATAGAATATAAAATTCTTCCTCTTCAGTTTTGGGAGATAGAATATAAAATTCTTCCTCTCCCGTATTGGGTTCGTCTTTGCCCCAAGAGAAGACATCATTTTTTTAACTCCTAAAATCCGTGCCTCACACACACGGGGAATTTTATCCCGAATCCTAAGTAGGGATAAGTCAACGCCTAACACGCGTTGTCGGTCAGTCTTTTATCGTAAAAAGGATAAAAGCTCACATATTCGATATTGTGGCAGGTTATTATTAATAACACCAAAATCCGTGCCTCACACGCACGGGGAATTTTATCCCGAATCCTAAGAAGGGATAAGTCAACGTCTAACACGCGTTGTCGGTTTAGTCTTTCACCGAGTGAAAAAGACACCAGAATCCGAGTCTGGGGACTTTTATCCCGAAGCCTAAGTAGGGATAAGTCAGCGCCTAATACGCGTTGCCGGGTAGTCTATTCCCGTGAGAAAGACGAGGTCTACGTATTCAATATCGTAGCACTAAGAGAGTTAACTCTCTTAACACAACGTTACATGCGGAACGGACTTAAACAATCCGCATGCAAGCCCGATTCAAACGGTAATCGGTAAAGGCATATCAAACCCGTTGAAGGCTAAGGGTTTGCCAAAAACCTTAAAGTCTACGCCTAATACGCATCGCCGTTTAGTCCTTTCACGTGAGAAATACGAAGTCTACGTATTCAATATCGTAGCACTAAAAGAGTTAACTCTTTTAGCATAACGTCACATGCGGAAGCATGCTAGTCCGACTCAAACGGTAGTCGGTAAAGGCTTATCAAACCCGTTGATGGCTGAGAATTTGCCAAAAATTCTATAAATGCGAGTCATTGACGCATCAGCTTCATTAGTTGGTCTCATGACTTGAGCATCCAACAACTTCAGGATAAGATCCATACATGCAGATGAATCAGATTTAATAGTTGGTCCTGCAGCCCAACATTTGGGACCGTCACGCTCCAATGTCTTAAGAGCTTAAACTGTGTTAACGCCGATCAACGCGTTACGGCAAAAGTCAACGCCGCACAACGCGTTACAGTAAATATCGATGTCAGTCAACGCATCGGCAATCTCGCCAAAATAAGGCAAAAGATGACTCCAATGATTTTAATTACAATCAGATATAAATTCCCGACGGAGATGATCAGTTCAAAGTCAACTCAATGGCACGAGCTAAGTTCAGAAAGTTACACACCAATCTCAGTTCAAGATTTCGACAGCGGTCAGACGATAAACGCAGCATCGGAAGAACTTCATCTATTCGACGAAACAATGAATAAATTAAAGACTAAAGAAGTTAAGAATTGAGATAGTTCAAGGTCACTCTACGAAATTGAGAAGATGGCCTATCTTATCCAAAGCATTACAGACTCCTCAATAAAAGAATGAGTCTGAAATACTTTGGAGGGGGTATCTGTAGGTGTCTAAAAATGCCTATGGGTGTCCGCACACAGCTCGAGACAGAGAGAAGACTATGAACGTCGTTATCTGAGTCTAAGAGGATTATCTGACGTTGACAAACGCCTGAAGCAAAACAGCAAACCGAGTGGCCTGCACGCTTATCAATCAGCTCGCGCGCGTCGGTCAACACGCGCGCGTCAATCAGCTCGCGCGCATCAATCAACGTGCGTCCGACAATCAGTTCGCGCGCGTCGGTCAACACGCGTGCATCAATCAACACGCGCATATATCAACCAACGCGATTTCGACAGTCAATCCCGCAACGAAGCATGCAAGTCAACAAGACGGTCAAACACACAAAACGGTGGAAAATACAAGTCCCAGAAGAGTAAAAAAAACCAAAAGAAAGTGTCAGGCTTCGGAACCCGTGCCGATGCGGGACAGCCGAAACCGACCCGCACCAGCGCGGGTCGGCCGAAACCGACCCGCACCAGCGATTGATTATCAAGACGAGGAGGTGCTGCCGGATTGTGGAGTCAAAGGAGCACGAATTTCAGCGAGGGTTGACAGATCTTGGCGAGTTCTTCGGCATAAAGAATGAGAGTTCGAGAGATTCGACACCCGTTCCCGTCCGTTCCTCGAGATCAGGCTTGGTCTTGATCTCGAGAAGAGTTCTGATTTCACTTGGTCGATCTCAGCGCTTCAAATCAAATACTTCATCGGTGAAGGTGAAGTTCTGCCGAATTTTCCATCAACCGGATCCAGATCAAAGGCGGTCTACGGATAAACCCCGGCACAGGGAAAGATCTCACGCAAGCAGAAGACCGATAAACGATCTCTGCGTTTGTTTAACGAGAATTGTATTTTTTTTGTTTTTATTGTGTAAAAGTCTTATAAAAAGACTATCTTTTTCGTTTTCATTGTAACGACCGAAGTTGTAATGAATACCGCAATAAATACAATAATTTTCGACGCAAACAGTAATGAGTACCAAATTCTTCGAATTCAAATCGCGTGTTCATTCAATGTTCTAAAATGCAAATTAAGCGGTCGCTTTTGGAACCACTTCAAGTAGGGAAAAAGCACTTTATTATGCAGTCATCCGTATAAGCGAACACATTTTCAGTAAGTGCGCGTATAATTTTTATTTATACGTGCGCTATTTTTTTAAATCCTTTTTGGGTTAAACCCGATTTGACTACTAAAGTTAAAAAAAAGCCTAACTCTATAAAGTTTTCCCAAAGTTCCACTACTCCCTCTATTCTCTCTCTTGTTTGAACCCAGTGGCCGTGACAAATATCTCATCCTTTGCCGACGCTTGCTCAAACTCGAGCCGCTCGTAGAAACTCACGGGAAGATCATACGACATCTGACGCTCTCCCTTCAAGCTCTCCGGCGAAATAGATCAGTTGAAGCTTCTAAGTATATTTTCTATTTTTCATGAATTTTATATATTTTAACATATGATGAATAATAAATATATATTAAAAATTCAAAAGTGTATAATTTCGCATACTACGATTAATCGTTAAGCGCTTCCAGACCACACAAATAATTAAACTGTGTTCTTGAACATTGTGTCCATTCGTATGCATACATGCATTAGTACTTATGCAGGTTTCTGTCTATGTATTACAATTACAATGAAATGTGTTTATGCTTGTCAAAGAGATAGTTCTGATAAAGGTACATATCATATGAGAAATTAATTTTGGACCCAAAATCATGGGGCCAATTAAGGGACATGTGATGTGTATCTATGATAGCTGTTGATCTTTGTTCGAATCCCAAAAAAAGGCACGTGTCACCTTGTCCCCATGGTTTGGGTCCAAAAAGAACTCTCCATGTCATGTCCAAAAAGAACACTCCATGTCATATATGTAGTCTAGCACATCTAAAATGGCTCAAATTGCTAATTCAATGCCTTGAAGTACTATTGATCCATCCACAGTGTATTTCGTTAGGCTTCACTTCTAGGATGTCTTCAACTTTGATATTTAAGTATGTTTTCAGTAATTCAGTGGTTTAGAGGTTGCCCAGAAAAGAGAAAAAGAAGGAAGGAAAGTAGGCATTTGATCCTTCTCAATTTCTGCTAAAAAATTTCTGAGATTTAAACCCAACAGATGTCCATATGGACTCCCCCAGAACACATGAGAAATAAGATTCATATATTTTTTTATTCTAATTTAGCGAAATGATTTAAGCAGTTTTCTGAATATTAGCGACATTGAGCTATTTAATTTTTTTTTTTGTTAACAAGGATATTTTCTGGGGTCCCAGCTGTATCTTTTTTACTTTATATAATCTTGAAAGGAAAGTACATAACACCAGGGGACACATATATCTTACATCGTAACATAGTGCCATAGTCATCCCTCTGAGTACTAGTTCAAGATAACATGAGAAATAAGAAAACAATTAGTACGTCCATAATACACCAAAATAAGACAGAAGATTATAAAGTTACTCAAAATTGTTTGATTAAAAAGTTAACATTAAAATAATAATGCCTAATTCACAGTGACGTGAGACCACTCTTATTTCATTATTTGGATCTTGGTGCTTCCCTGTTGGCCCACTGAGTCCTTTTCTATTTGCAATTAATGTGCTGCAGGAACTTCTGCCTGCCCTGAAAGCAAATTTTATTGTAGAAATGCAGGAGACAGGCCTCGTTTTTTGTTTTCCTCTAGAGTGAATGATCACATCTGCGGTAAGAAATTTTTATGAAAGCTGCTTTTATTCCCAGTTTCTAAGTTATTTCAATTAGTAATTTATTATTATTAGAGTCCTCTAATTATTCTCAACTACCGTTTGGCAATTCAATGGGTGATACTTAGTTCTCTAATTAATATTTACTTCTCCCTATAAAACTTTCTAGATTGTTGTGATGGAAGCGACGAGTATGATGGTGGCATCACTTGTCCTAACACCTGCACCAAAGATGGAAATGATCTCAACTTCAGGAGTGATGAACAAGATTCAAAAAGAACCAAGTCAAGTGATATTAATGCGCAAGAAAGAATAAGTGACGTTGATTTGGAGGACTTCATCCAAAATCTAAAAGGTACTAAAAGATGGAACTGATTTAAACTTCAGGATCGATGAACAAGGTTCCACGAGAACCAATCCAAATGATATTAACGCACAAGAAAGAATAAGCCTGATATATAAGTTAATTCTTTAGTGTATTGGATAAACTAATATGGACGCTCTGGCTTGTTAATGTGCAGGATTTAAAGTTGCTATAGTTGTGGAGTTGGGTATTGCAGTATGTTTAGTGACCTTTTTCCTATTTTATCGGCATAATAGAGTTCGAAGGAGACGCTTGTTGCGAAGGAATCGGTAAACCTAACTTTTCTGCTCATAAAATTTTATAAACCATATGCTGCAAATTCTTTCCTCAGTTTACTACAAACGGATACAACTCGTTCATGTATATGGTTTGCTATAGTTTCATGTCAAGCAAACCTTGGTGACTGCTATAACATTTCTTAAAACTTCATGACTAGATGATGGCCTTTATCGATTTGCTTCTTATTGGGCAGCTAAAGCTATGGTTGCTTCAAACAGAAAACATGAAGACTCAAACTATCTTTTTTACTTTTCTCGTCTTTCCTTCTTCATTCTACTGTTTCTTCTCTTATTTTCTTTATTGTATTTATATTCTCTTCTTTTCCTTTTAGCTTATCATTGTTGAAGTGGTTTCTGAATAAGTCTATGCATTTTTGGTTTCTAGGCTGGTGCCTCAAATTTCCAGTCGCCTGAATAAGTCATTTGCCAAAAGTTAAGATATGCAAACTACTCCAATATATTGCATGATTGCAACTCGAGCATGGTCAGCTTTCTGATGCAATTTATCTGATGTTGCTAATATGATCATCAATGTTAAAAGTAGTGGGAAGTGTAGCTGTAGCATACTAGGAAGGTGCCGCCAACTCGCCAAGTGCTTATCATTTAGCTGCTGCTTTAGTAGATGCTTATGCATGTTGGATTTTTCAACAAACAAATAAACACATATAACCCACACATACGTGTGCATGCATTGTACATGTATATCAGTATATGCGCGCGCATGCACACACATGCACGCACGCGCACATGGATATCTGTACTCTCATACACATATTTTACACATTCATATTGATATGCCATCAAAATATTAACAATATATTTAATTAGAAATGCGTGCCAAAGTTAAAAATATCAATAATAGGGCATAATTCAATACAATATTGAAGAATCACTTTCATTGAATATCAAAAGAGAACTGTAAAAATATTAAGGCAAAATTGATGTATTATTCTGATTCCACCTTTCCTTAAGAAAAGAGCTTTATACACAATGTTGAAAACAAATTTGGAAAAAAATAACTAACCCTATGATGAGGAATCCTTGTAGATTACTCACCTGATGATCACCATCTATGGAATGAATGCAATCAGTACTGCTGCAATTGAAAGGAAAACTCATGTGGTAAGAAGTTGAAGTGCCATTTCCAGAATCGATTGGATCCAATGCAGTTTATGTATTAAGTTGATACCTGCTTTGGTGGGTAACTGTTTGATAAAAACAAGCCGTTTATCCGGTTAACGGGTATTGAAGTATCCACTTCAGCTTCTACTGGTATCTTTGGTCACCATGGATAAAGTTGTGGACGAGGTCCACTATGTTCTAACATCACCTGTAGCGGCAGTACTGGCTGCCTGTTGGAAAAAAAATGCCTCCTTGATAAACACCTATTTGATTGTGAGAGTGGTGGGCTGCATGAGACAAAAAGGCTCGGAACCATAGGAGGAAAGATGAAGTTTTTGTGTCTGAACTTGTTCTACCATTTAACCATCTTTCATGACATCCAAAATGTGACTAAACTCACTCTTCGGTTCCTTGCTATACTAGAACCTTGTGAGGCACCAAATTTAACACTGAAGTTTTAAGGATTTCCTGTTCTGCTTATTGTAGTCATATCTGTATTTTGTATCAGTAATGTCGCAACATGGGTTAGAGAGAACATAGTACAATTTAGCAACATAATATAAGACTTGGTTGATCTGGTTGACTTTCTTTCTGTCTGAAATCTTTTTTTTTCTTTTCTTATATTACCAATGACTTTGCCCAAGGTTTAATCAGAGGGGGTATGAAAATTTAAATTTCTGTTCTGCCGATGCGCGCACGCTAAAATATAGCAAACATGAAATTAAAAAAAATTATCCCATCAAGCTATCATGTCAATCACGAAAAATAAATTAATGTTTTCTATATAATGTATTTCTACAACTTTTCCTTTTATATCTGTTATATACAATTTGCTAATCCCTTATGGAGCTACCTAGCCTTTAGTACATATCTATTCCTCTCTGGATGATCCAGTAAACAGTATTTAGCAATAATCTAGCTCCCATGTGTTCTCATGAATTTGGATCCTTGTGTTTAATTATACAAAAGAGGACATGAAACTTTCCAAGTAGTCATCACCGAGGTCATAAAACTCCACAACTTCCATCTCTTGGCTGTGATCCGGAGCTATACTAGCCATTCTCTTCCTTGGCGGTGATTCAATTAAGTTACCATCATTTGTATTCCATTCCCTTTTTGCCCTTTTACGTCGATCATGATTTGTCTCATTGCTTTCCAAGGCCTTGACAACCATATCCATCGAAAAGTTAAGGTGAGCTCGTGGGCCTCTCATTTTCAAAGCTGCTTTATCATATGCTAAGGCAGCTTCTTCAGCAGTGTCAAAAGTTCCCAGCCAAACTCGAACTCCTTTCCTCGATGTGTCTCTTATCTCTGCTGCATATTTGCCCCAAGGCCGCCTCCTTACTCCCCTATATTGCCGTGTAGCTACTTTCTTTTCCTTTGATGGAGGTTTTGATTCAGCAGCAGAGCAAACAGTACTTCCTGTACTGAGATTAGACGAAGTCTGAAGGCCTGTAGAGTCGATAAGTCCATCAAGAAGTCCCTCCCAGCAATCGGCTCCCATTGAAATCCATCTGCCAAGACTTGGTAACCTCTGTAGGACTTCCATGTTCCTGTCCGCTTCAGGATTTGGGGGTTCTTGCCAAGTCTGAGAGCCTGCAGGAATTTTATTAAATTCTTCACTGGAATTGCAGCTTTTCTTGGTATCATAGATGAAATTGGCCCACACATTTTCTAGAAGCTTTTGAGATGCTTGAGCAGCCATGCTCAAGGTATCAAAGTGTGGGTTTTGGGTAGATTCACGGGTTATTAGAGAAGAGTATGGGAATAGGATTGTGGGTGTGCTTTATAAGCACTGCCAGCAATTGAACAGCTTAGCCCTGAGCCCTGAGAAGTTAACTTAGGCTCTCAAGAAACTTCATTTTTAAGAGATGCAGGAATTCAGGGTATAGGTAATGATTAAAGCAATTATATTAGTTAAATGTGATAGGTTGACTTATGTTATTTCAGCAACCTTTAGTTGCTTCTTATGTTTAATTGATAGATTTACTGGATATCGTTTATCTTAGTATCTGATAAACTAGTGTGCACCCCGTGCAAAGCACGACCTCCTAATTTTTTAAGCACTGCATTTTTAACTTGTCTCCCTCTAAGTTTTGATACATTTGATTTAATCATTATATGCTTAAAATTAGAAATCATATCTACTCCTCTATGCTTAAAGAAGAATCCAAATTTTAATACATTTGATTTAGAAATCAAATCTACTCCTCTATACTTAAAGAAGGATTCGAGTTTTAATACATTTGATTTGCTTTAAAGTTTATGATACAATATATACTGTAGCATTAAAAGTAACTTCAAATACAAAGGAGCAGATTTGATTTACTGTTTATGCTACAGTAAATTACATAAACAGTAACTTCGAGTGCAGAAGGCAAATTTTTACTGTTTATGCCGTAGTATCCATTGTAGTATTTACTGTAGTGTGAACAGTAACTCTTTGGACTCTCCTTTAAGTATAGAGGAGTAGATACCAGATTACTGACATCTGGTTGTTGTAATCACCTCTTCCAATCGTGTCAAGTAGGCTTTTCATGGTTCACGTTTGTCATAGAGATAAGTGATGAAGTTAATCTTGTATAGTAAATAGTACGAGTGTGATGGCCCATTTTTGTTATTTATGTTCGCATTATAATAATAGAGATGTGTTGTAACCCCCCTTAGCTGGTTTGATATTAAAGTTTCTCCGGCGACTTTTTTGGTATTAACAATATGCCAAATGTGCAATTAGACATGTTTTTTTTCGTCGACAAAAAAACTTGGCATTAAAGTTGAAAGTGATCTCACATGACTTTTCAGAATTATTAGAACACTAATGTGGCTTTGTTTAACTGATGTGGTTGGACTTAGATGATGTGGCATAAATAAAATTATAGACTTCTCATGTGGTTTTGATGATATAGATGTTTAGAAGGATGATTATCAATATTTTATTTGAATGAAAACATAGTTTTTTTTGCTGTAAACGTGTTTGAAATTGTCAAAAAATTCCCTATTATTCATCGATAGCAAAGAAAATGCCTAACTGCAAAATAAGTGGACTTTTAATACCTAAAAGTCACCGGAGAAACTTTTAGTACCAAACCGGTTAAGAGGGATTACAAAAAATACCAATTTGGTAATTTAGGCTCGTAAGGTCCTAAAAACATTTCCCTTTGCCTTGATGATTTCATTCTTCAAAATTTACTTGCCATCTTTTGGAAAAATAAAGAAACTAGGTTTTGACTTTTGAGATGTTTTAGACTTTCTTATTGGTTTCTTCAATTTAGTATTTTCCCTTATTTGATGTCCACATTCGCAGATCCTTCTTTCTGAAGGTATCTTTTTTTGTACCTCACCAGTATCTTCGCTATGAAATCTGCATTCTTTATCTTGAAACTTGGAAGAAAACTAGTAACTTGGAAAGAGTTATGGAAACTTATTTGCACTGTGATGCCGTCATTTGTTTGATATTTTCAACTTTAATGTCTAACTCAATCTTGGATTCTTGGTGGGCTCCAGATGACGAGCGTTGCACAGAGCACAAAAATGCTGAAGACTAAGATAATATCACCTTGAGTGCTGCTCAAAACTCTGAATCTCTATGAAATCACGCGGTTCTCCACATTAATCAGCAAGGACCAATTGTAAGTATGAAGCTTAGTATTGCGGCGACAAATATTATAATGGCTGAGGTGGTGTTTAAGTTAGTCATTATACAGTGTACGAGGAGAAACTCTCAGCAGGGCGCTGATTGAAGAGAATGTTTTGGAGTTTGGTGGGTTTGAGCTTATTATTAATTCAAGGTGAACGTGCCTGCACTTTTGCTTAAGCAAGCATGGTTATTTTCAAGGTATGAAGGGTTTTGCAAGTTATTATTATGGTGTAATTGACCTGGCAGTCTGTCATCATTGCTTGTGTTGTGAGCTTCAGACGATTGACAATTTCAGTGTATTCAATATGATATATTTTCCTCAAACAAAAAAAGGGGGAAGAAAAGATAGAAATTGAATTACGAGATAAATGAATTTTTAGGATATTAAGCAGAAAATTTTACTTACATGATGATGCATTCTGTTATACTCTACTCCAAATGAATAGATCTGAGGCCTCTTCCCTCACATGAGTGATTTTGATTGGATTTGTACTATAGTATATATTACTTCTAAGTTCGATGCTACGACCTAAAATTTGGAATTAAGATTTCTCCCGATCCCTTAATTTGTCCTAAATGAGTAGGATAGAAACTTAAGAAATATGGAGCAAGCTGGAGAAATCAAACTGGCATAGTAATAGTAAGAGTAAAAATTCTGATTTTCACCAGGCTTGAAATTATACAGCTATACGCTAGCGCCTTGTTTGACACGCATGAATTGAGTTAAGTGAGAATGAAAAGAAATAGAGAATGAAATGGAATAAGACATGTTTGGAATGCGTAAGAATGAGATGCTTGTTTTCGTTCTCATGCTTGGTTGTAATTTGAGAATGAAGTGGGATTGTGAATCTTTTCTATTTTTGACACGAGTAATTAACAAGGAGACAAATTTGGAATCTATTTTAAAAATTTTTATTTCCACGTATGCCGGAAGGCACATTCTCTATTATCTCATTAGGAATGTTTATTTTCCACATGAAATGAAATGAGAATGAAGTATAAGTGGGCATGAACATTGGTTTTGAAAAAAAATGTTGCGTTTGGTACGCGTGAACAAGGAGTGGGAATGAGAATTCCCACTCCTCATCCAGTCACGCGTGAATGTTTGTTTTCGTTCTCATTGGGAATGAGAATTCCATCCTCATCCAGTCACGTGTTCGTACCTATTAACTGCTGATCAGCCGTTTATGATTGAAAATACAAGCTATTAATAAGCTATTAATCTAACTATGATGACTATGAGAGAGGAAGCAAGGCAAGTAAGGTATGAAAAGTCAGTAAAGAAGAACAGAGTAGTTTTTCAACTCAATTTAGATAATTCCGATCAACTATTATCTTACAGTTTTTTGGAGAAAAAAAAAACACTTTTTTCTTTTTTTTTTTGCAGCTATCCGATAGCTTAAGGGGCTGTTTGGTTGTATGTTTTTACCATGTAAAATGATGGAAAGTGTAAATAAGTGGGTCCTAATGTCAGCTTTCATCATTTTACATTGTTTGTTTAAATTCTTTTTTACATGAAAAGCGTACAATTTTTGATGAGGTGTCACCGAAAGCAAAATCACCAAAATTAGGAGTGATTTTGTTAGAAAGCTTACACAATGTCATAAATGTGTCCAAAATAATAATAATAAAGTCAAAACTTGTAGAAAGTGGTGAGGTAGATAACCACTTTCCATTTTGTGTCATAAATACTCTAGTTTACATTATACTATCCAAACAATGTAATATTATTATTTTAGGATTCATAAAGATTCCTAACCAAACAATGTAAACACTCGAATGAAAAGTGGTGAGGTGGATAACCGCTTTCTATTTTGTGTCATAAATACTCTAGTTTCCTAAAGGCATCCAAACAGCCCCTAAAACAATCCCCAAAGATGTCTTATTTAGGGATTCCTGCAAGAAATTAGGTGGCGTTTCATCTGTGTCCGGCTGAGGCAAAGGCACAGTTTCTTCGATCCCAAAACTAATTAACATAAAACTCATCTCTTCACTAAAATCAAGCCAAGGCACGAATCCTAGTGTCGAAACTATGCGTCGATGACGTAAACAAAGGGACGAGAAAAGCTCTGGACTTCACGGGTGGGCTCGCCAAGCGCTGGTACTCACTGTGGCGGATCCTATGCGACCCGTGAACCAGGATTTGGCTTTACTACTACGTTAGATTGAACTAGAAATTTTAAAAAACTAAGGAAAGTACGTGCTTGGTCTGGGGCAAAAAATGAAGTGTAGATTAGTTGCAATAATGATGTTGCATGCAGTATTTGTTGCTGAAAATTAACCTCAAGTTCATTTATCTGGATATTTACTTGTTTACTATGGAAAATTACGCTACGAAAATATAACGATGTGATTTTCTTCACCTAGCTAAGCCCTATGAGTACCTATTGTCGCGTCAAATCTCTGTTTTCATGACTCAAATTTCTTTTCTAAATAGAACCGCAATATACCAAAAGTTGCCCGGTTAACATATTAACTCTGTATCTTTTGCACTAGTTATACTTAATTATAGTGCACAATTATCGAGAGCATGTAAGATGAATTATCATGGTGGTAAGAAAAATGTTATGTTTGTTTCATGTATGTGTATTTGTGTCAACATCAAATTTAATGCCTTTATTTTCTATAAATTTTTATGTACATTTATGACTTATTCCCCACTTTTAAGCTATGAAATGAACTTCTTAAGGAAGTAAATGTGATGCATTTGATTGGATTCAGATCGCATTATCAACTCCTTTTGCCATCCTACTAGTATAGGGGTAAATGGTGCGGCAAAAAAGTTTGATGGCCCGGGGGACCCCTTTTTCCTCATAACAACCATTATACTTATAATATATAGGCCCAACCTAGGATAAATTAAAGGAAAATATGCTACAAAACACATGCTTGATGATCTAAGAAACCAAATTATTCTCATTATAGAAGGAAACCTAGTGCTTCTTGTGAACTCGTTACGTGACAAAAACAGTCCTAACACTTTGTACACCACATAATGACATAATGACACTCACATAATTCTCTTTCACCTCCAACAATCAAAATGAGCATTCTTACTTTATCCTCCTCCTTCCTTCTTCTTCTCCTCCTCCTACTGAAATTGAGCTTGCAAGCTCAAGCTCAGACCAACGCCCCGAAACCGATGAATCCGGTCTCGGCCGTCTTTGCTTTTGGGGATTCAACAATGGATCCGGGCAATAATAATTTTATTGCCACAGCATTTAGAAGTGATTTCCCTCCTTATGGGAGGGATTTCTTTACTCACCTGCCAACAGGGAGGTTTACTAATGGGAAGCTTGTCACTGATTTTGCTGGTATGCGTTTCTTAATTAGTTTATTTGGGTAAATTGCAGATAATCCCTTTTGACTTTATCAAACTTCAGGTCATTTTATTAGCATTTATGACCCCTCAATTCATAAATACAGAGAAAGGGAGGTTATCTGCAATTTAATTTTCTGAAAATGCCAATAAAAGAGGTGAGGGGTGGTAAGTGCTATTGAAGATGCATGTAAGAGGGGTTATCGGCAATTTGTCCTAGTCTTTTTGTGATTAGAACTGAATTATGCCGTAGGATGATTATCAATAAAAGTTGTGGATGGTGCTTAATTAATTTGTGAGGGTGTCTCAGCTTCTTATGTGGGATTGAAGGAGGAGTTGCCTCCTTGCTTGGACTGGTCTCTTGGTATTGATGAGTTGATGACTGGAGTGAGCTTTGCATCGGCTGGATCAGGGTTTGATCCCCTAACAGCACAAATAGGGGTAATTTCTCCTTAATTAACTCTAAAAATAATACGTGCTTCATGGTGTTATGAATTATATGAATTTGCAATCTCAATTTGTATGTACATGTTTGTTTCATTACAACTTGAGACTCTTAATTTTTGTGCGTAATTATTCATTTTTCAAGGACTAACCTATTTGATTTTGAGTTGCAGGGAGTGATTCCCATGCCTCAGCAGCTTAATTACTTCAAAGATTACCTTAACAAGCTTGACTTCACAATTGGAGAAGATAAAAGAGCAGACATTATCAAAAGAGCCATCTTTGTTGTAAGTGCCGGTACTAATGACTTCATCAGTTACTCAACTCTCCCTCTTAGGCGCCAATCTTTCTCCATAGAAGGCTATCAAGGCTACATACTTCAGAATCTGAGAGTATTGTTACAGGTTTGTTTAGAAAATTTTTACTTGTTTGATAGAGTTAATTAGCATCAAATATGATTATATTTTTACCATTTGCAGGGTTTATGTGATCTTGGAGCAGAGAGAATTGTGGTAGCTGGACTCCCTCCAATTGGTTGCTTACCAGTTGTTATCACATTGAACTCGAAGGATGGCATCCATGATCGAAGCTGCATTGAGCCTGATAATGCAGTATCTTATGACTACAACAGGAAGCTTCAAGCTCTGCTTCAGGGTTACTCTACTTTGAGACAAGTTCGCATTATCTATGCAGACATATATAATCCTCTTTTCGAACTAATTCAGAGTCCAACTAAATATGGTAAGCAATCTAAAATAATTCTAGGATTAGTTTCCTGATGCACCACTTTTACTAAATGAAGTTAGGCACTTATTCTCCCAAACTTTTCCATCAGCAATTAGATCTCCTGATGTCCAAAGAGAATTATTTTTTGTTTGTTGTACCGGGACCATAGGATTAGAGGGTCACTATACGACTCAGGAAAACCTCAGGAGGGGATCCCTCGATCTACAACACATTGACGTCACATGATGACCACATGACATATATAATTCTTTTGGAACATCAGGGGGTCAACATGCAAACGGAAAAGTTTAGAAGATTGTACGCATTTAACCCATATAGTTTATGCAAATAAATAGTTTTTAAGTCTGTAATGATGCTTACTATCAGGTTTTGAGAATTCAGAAGAAGGCTGTTGTGGAACAGGATTGGTTGAAGCTTCATTCCTGTGCAATCCCAAGTCTCTTGTATGTCTCAATGCAGCCAAATATGTGTTTTGGGATTCTATCCATCCGACAGAGAAGACATATTACTACATATTCAACAGTTTAAGAGTGATGATAGATCAGATGCTTGCTTAAGAGTACTTATTAGTCTTTAAAAAAAATTTACACTTACTAGAGGTGGTGCTTGCATTTGTGTTCTTCTAGCTAGTAGTAGGGATATTGGTCTTGGTGCATAATGTTTTTTCTGTCTGTGAGACCGTAATGCCCTTGTATACAAAGAAGATAAATAAATAATGTACTTTATCATCCTACATGTGCATCATTTAGTTGTTTATGGATTAAGCCTCAATGTTTTTTGGGACCAAATTAACTAAGAGATTTAGAAGATCAGATATTAACACCAGCTTTTAGTTTGAGCTTAATTTTCTTTGTATGAACCCCCAGGAAATTCTAAGTGAAGTTATTGAGTCTGTTGTTCTCATGTCTTGCTGCATTATTCTAAAAAAAAATTGGATGAACCATACTTCATATGAGCAAATACAATCTTGTCTTGTGGCTATATTAGTGTTGGAGGTTTCATTTGTGAGAGCAGCTCATCACTGAAAATATTGGAAAAAATTGGTGGACTTTCACAGAGAAAAACGACAGACTTAATCTTTTGAGTGAGTATCAGAGGATTACGTTTTCTTCACAACAATTGATACATTGGCCAAGGGGTGTTTGGTTCAACAGTGAGCAATAATAGGATTAGGAATCCCATATTTTTTATGGTTTCCTAGCTAATCCATAAAAAAATTTAAGATAATTTTATGTTGTCATGGAATTTTTTTTTTTCATTTCTATGTTTGTTTCATAACATGAAAAAATAGAATCCAGCTTTATAGAAATCCCCCAATTCTTATTCTTTAGTTTGGTTTGAAATGAAAATAGGATTTGGTCTCTAAAATATACGGTTTGTGAAGAAACGTAATCCGAAAAAAAGAGAGGGAGAATAGTACAAATGTGTCACCTTTCTGCCCCAAATCCGCCCAAATCATTAGGATTTGGGTTTCTATAAAATCAACATACTTTTTCAACTTCGTAGATTCCGAAATCTATAAATTTTTGGGGAACCAAACTCAAGAATAGGATTCATAAAGAATCATTTATTACAATTTTGTCATTGTCAGACCCCAAATCCTATTCATCTATACTACTTCTAAAAGAGAAAACAAATGTCAAAACTTTTGCATACCCATTTTACCCTTTACAAATTTCATAAATCTAATTTTATCCTATATTTTATCCTTCTTTTCCCTATTTTGCCCCTTTCCTGTAATCTTTGTTTATTAAATAGTATTAATATTATTAGATGTTATTTATACTAGGTTAATTGAAAAGCAAAACATAATTACTCAGCTACCTTTCCTATCCTATCCCATCCTATCCTCTTTCATAACGCCCAGCACTCTTTCTTCCATATGTTATCCGCTCTCTCCCCTACTCCTCTCCCTCTCTCTTTCTCTAAAAATTAATTCGACGTTTGGCCTCCTCGCTTTAGGTGCCTCCGTTTCTCAATGACAACGCTCTCTCTATATTCCTCCTTAATCGCTCTCTCCTCGGCCCCTCTTTCTCATCTCTCTCTAAATTATTTCGACGATCGATCTCCTCACTTCAATTTCTTTCGTTTTCAACCGTTGACAATGTATACGTCCTTCCCTCAGAAGATTCTTCCGTTACTATAATTGGTAATAACTGCCAGGGCTTTCTGATCCCCATCCCCATCACCAATCCCCAAAGACTAAAATTTAGGTTATTTTGTGCCCATCCCCATCACCAATCCCCAAAGACTAAAATTTAGGTTATTTTGTGATTCTATAAATACATACTGCTTCAACTTTGATGGAGCAAAGAAGGTGTTTATTTCCAATTGTAAGTATGAGTATTGGTTATTCTTATTACCTTACTCTAATTCTTATTCTTATTCTTCGGTTTGTGGGTTGCTTGCTTACCTTTTTCTTTGTATTGATGATTGATGATTGTTGATGTCAGGGGTCCGAGATTGATAGGAGAAGTAGAAAGCTATCAAGGTAATTTAAAATTTTATTTGATCTCTATTATGTTGCAGAGGTATCTTTGTGAGCCGCATTTCTTCCCATTTGTCTGTTTTCTTTCATTGGAATTGGAAAGTACATTACAATAACATACTCTTGTGGGTTTTGAGTGCATCATTGAATTCTATCCGTAATTTCCAATTTGTTGTGATCGTCTTCATTTTGCTTTAATAAGAAACGGGCTGGTTTGAAACATAGTTGATAGAATACAACTACAGCAATTATAAATGTTTTTAATTTTTTCAATCCAGAATGGGCCTTTTAGTGTCTATGCCTGTTCTGGAAAATTGCTTCTGCTCTTGCTTTCTATTTTTTAAGCACACTTGTGTTTTTGACCAAACTTCCCTTTATTACGACACATTGCTCTCCTTTTTGTTTTCTAATTATAAATATAAATGTGTATATTTTTTTGATGAAATAAATGTGTATATTTGGGAGTTTTGTTTTCTTAAATGTTTATATAGTGGGCAAATTTGTAATCTGAATGATGTTTTTTCTGGAAAGTAGAAATTCATCAGACAAGGATTAAGATCGTTCGTACACGCTCTTGATTTTCATCATTTATCATGACATTGTCCATCAATTTAAGACGAGCTTTCAGTTGTTTACTTGATAAACCTTCTAAGTTCTAATTTTCACCGGTAACAAATGTCATATCTTCTATGGTGCATTTCTATATATATTAATTACGTCATATTTGTGGTTGCTTTCATCAAGGCTGAAAATAGTATTTTCATACTTATGAAAAATATTTAGTCAAGGGAAAAATATTTAGTCATGGGAGAGCATTTCCATATTTATATTTGATCTCCAGTAGTTTTATGACTGTGATGACTTTTTATTTCTCACCTTTAAAAATTTGTTATCAAATTTTAATGTTTCTAATCTATCAACCATTTCACATGATGAATATTTTATATAAGAAGATTCATAGTAAACACTATAATTGAAGCCTCATCATACATCTATTTTAGGGTTGTTTGAGTCTTCGTAGGGATTTGGGCATTTTTTTTACTTTGATTCCTTCACTTGCTACATAATTATATATATTCAAGTTTGGCCCATGTTCTTCTTTCTATTTTACTTCGGAAAGGAACTTGATATCAAACCCTTTATGGAGATGGTACTCTCTATGTCTAATTATTAGGAAACAAGTTTCTACTACATGCATGGCCTTCCTTTCTAGCTTTCTACATTCCCTAACAGCAGATGGTCAACTTTCCATCTTTAGGAGATGACACCAAATCCCTTCTGAATTTCTCTTCATATTTGAAGGTCATGCTTAAGAATGTGTGTTGCCTAAGCATAACCATCATCATAATCTTTGATGAGATTTTCTTTTCCATGCTTTACTTAATTTGTCATGATATGCAATTCTCATTTGAGGGGAAATTTGGTGTACTTGCATGTGTAGGATCTGAAATATATACACTAGAACACTAGAAATAGGGTGAATAGTGTTCTTTTAAAATATATGCAAAGTAGATTATAAATTGCAAAGAAAAATAGCAAACTCGGAAATTCACAATCACAAACACAAAGTTTTATACTGGTTCCACCAACCCGGTGTACATCCAGTCCCCAAGCAAATCCCGCTTGGGAGTTTCCACTATGATTTTGAAACCTTACAAAATCAAAAGCAAACCTGACCAATTTGCAAATTCCTGCAAATTGCAACACCAATTGACAAGACCATGCCAATTGCCACCCAATCTCTAAACCAAGAGATCAACCCTCTCAAATCCGAGAGAAATCCTTTTTGAAGCAAGAACACAATTGATCCTATAAGCCTTGAATGTGTAGTGAAGTGATGCAGTGGCTTAGGATTCTTTTAACTCTCTGAATATTGCCTATACAATCTCTAAGAATGATTGAAACCAAGGCAATATCAGAAACTCTCTTTTTCTAAACACTTAGCATGAAAATCTGGAAAATTAGAACTACACTGAGTTTAAACAGACTCTGTGAAGTCAGAAAATTGCTTAGTAGTCGACTACAAGGCATAGTAGTCGACTACACTGTAAACTCAGATTCTGGAATTTTTCTGTTTAGTATTTTGACTGTAACTTTCTCATCCGATATCGGAATGAGGTGATTTAAGATTTGTTGGAAAGCTGTTGAAGAGACCTACAACTTTGGTCTTTTGAGTTTTTCCAGATTCTAATTTCTAAGGGGTGTAAATGAAATGTTTTAAGACTCACTCAATATCTATAAACTCTAATGGCTAACATAGGGGATTTTTATTGTTAACCAACATTTTAAGCATGTGTTAGTGTGTTCTAACACTATGTGTGTGCATGTGTGTGAGTGATCAAGGCTTGTACAAATTTCTAAGCAAAGAAAATATAAAATTACATTTTGACAATAAAATATATCTTCTTCTTTGCTTCATTTTGCCTTGAACTCATCTATGTCTTGAGTATCTCTTTGAATATAATTGTTGATATAGCTCTGACAAAATAAATGTTAGCACATAATACACACAACATATTATATTTGTTATCATCAAAACAAACTAATCTTAGGGTCAAGATTCCTAACATTCTCCCCCTTTTTGATGATGACAAATATATGTTATTAAGATATAAAAATTTTAATCCCCCAGCATGAAATCATTAAATAAAATCTTTTACTCCCCCTGCATCAAAGTATTAGTAAAAAATTTAAAATTTTCTATATAACTCCCCCTTTGTCATTAGCAAAAAGAAATAAACATAATTCTAATTAAAATTTTCTTTTCTTGGGTACCTTAATAAAAATATCAAGCACTTTGGTACCCTTTTATATTATATCATTAGGATTAGCCCTTAGGAATCCAAATCCACTTGGAATTTGGTTTCCATTTGTTAACATAAGTGTAATTCTTTGAATTGTAAACTTCGTAAATATAAGATGAAATAAAATCATTCCTATCATGAATATTCAAATTCTTAGGAATCCCTATATACTTATTTTGTTTAGCATGAATATTCTTATTATTATTCTTCAAAACATAATCATTCTTTATAAAATACTTAGGAACAAATCCAATGCCAAAATGATTGTTTGAAGATTTTTGAAATGAGAGCAAATTATTCAAATTCTCTTTATTTTTATTGAATTTACTAACATTCAAACATATATCATCATATTTTAATTTAATAGAAGAAATATCTTTATCTAAAACATTAATGCGGATTTTTAAATCATTGCATTCTGATTTTAGATAAACATTCTCATTAGTCAAAATATGATTTTCTTTAAGCAAGGATTTATTTTCCTCTTTCAATTCAATTACTTGAGAATTAGAAATAGTAGAAGAATTAAAATCAGAAATTTCTTCAAGTAATCTTTTATTTTCACCTTTAAGAAAATTATGTGAAGCCTTTAATCTCAAAAATGTTTCATATAATTCATTGAAAGCATCTAATAATTCTTCATTATTGCATACCTCATCTTCTTGTGCCATGAAGCACATGTGAGTGGATTCCTCTTTTTGTTCTTTCATTTTGAATAACTCAAACCTGTGCACAAGAACAGATATTTTAGATTCTTTAACTTTATTTGTACCTTTGTGTGTTACCTCTAATGTATGCCAAATTTGATGGGCTGAATTGCAAGTAGACACGCGATTGAACTCGTTCTTGTCCAAAGCACAAAATAGAGCATTCATTGCTTTTGAGTCCAAATTCACTTTAGTCCTTTGAACAACTGACCATTCGGTATATGGAGTGGTTGGCTTTGTGAATTCGGTCTCTACAATGTTCCAAAGGTCGTAGCCAAGAGATTGGAGGTAGATCTTCATCCGACACTTCCAATAGTTGTACTTCGTGCCATCGAATAGAGGTGGTCGCTGTGTGGAATATCCCTCTTTGAATTGTGATGTATTTGTTGATGCCATCTTTCACCTTGCTCTGATACCAAATGTAGGATCTGAAATAGATACACTAGAATACTAGAAATAGGGTGAATAGTGTTCTTTTAAAATATATGCAAAGTAGATTATAAATTGCAAAGAAAAATGATAAACTCAGAAATTCACAATCACAAACACAAAGTTTTATACTGGTTCCACCAACCCGGTGTACATCTAGTCCCCAAGCAAATCCCGCTTGAGAGTTTCTACTATGATTTTAAAACCTTACAAAATTAAAAGCAAACCTGACTAATTTGCAAGTCCCTGCAAATTGCAACACCAATTGACAAGACCATGCCAATTGCCACCCAATCTCTAAACCAAGAGATCAACCCTCTCAAACCCGAGAGAAATCCTTTTTGAAACAAGAACACAATTGATCCTATAAGCCTTGAATGTGTAGTGAAGTGATGCAGTGGCTTAGGATTCTTTTAACTCTCTGAATATTGCCTATACAATCTCTAAGAATGATTGAAACCAAGGCAATATCAGAAACTCTCTTTTTCTAAACACTTAGCATGAAAATCTGGAAAATTAGAGAGTGAATATGCACAAATGTTTGATCTTGTGTGTATGAATAAGTTGTGTAAATTTCTGAACTTATAACCTATTTATAGCCCTTGAAAAGACAAGTTTTCAACCCCTAAAAACATATACAAAACGGCTATAAACAGACACTTATTCAAAACCTGAAATCTAAAAAAACTGCATCTATAGTCGACTACAAGTCATAGTAGTCGACTACATTGAGTCTAAACAGACTCTGTGAAGTCAGAAAATTACTTAGTAGACTACAAGTCATAGTAGTCGACTACATTGAGTCTAAACAGACTCTGTGAAGTCAGAAAATTACTTAGTAGTCGACTACAAGGCATAGTAGTCGACTGTCAGAAAATTACTTAGTAGTCGACTACAAGGCATAGTAGTCGACTACACTGTAAACTCACAGATTCTGGGATTTTCTTTTCATTGTTTTGGCTGTAACTTTCTCATCCGACATCAGAATGAGGTGATTTAAGATTTGTTAGAAAGCTGTTGAAGAGACCTACAACTTTGGTCTTTTGAGTTTTTCCAGATTCTAATTTTTAAGGGGTGTAAATAAAATGTTTTAAGACTCACTCAATATCTATAAACTCTAATGGCTAACATAGGGGATTTCTATTGTTAACCAACATTTTAAACATGTGTTAGTGTGTTCTAACACTATGTGTGTGCATGTGTGTGAGTGATCAAGGCTTGTACAAATTTCTAAGCAAAGAAAATATAAAATTACATTTTGACAATAAAGTATATCTTCTTCTTTGCTTCATTTTGCCTTGAACTCATCTATGTCTTGAGTATCTCTTTGAATATAATTGTTGATATAGCTCTGATACTGCAAAATAAATATTAGCACATAATACACACAACATATAATATTTGTTATCATCAAAACAAACTAATCTTAGGGTCAAGATTCCTAACAACATGTTACTTGTATATGCACACTGCAGACTCTTTATATTAGGAAAATTCTTCCAGCATACATGTCTATATGTTCAATACTTCATTCAAGATCATCAACTCTTTTCGAGATTTGATTTCTCAAAAGAGAAAAAAAAATGAAATTTAGTAAACATGTCAATTGAGATTCTGGGATCTCCATGGTATACAAGGTATTTTGTGCTCTTCATCATAATCTTTGATGAGATTTTTTTTTGGTTGCTAATTTGACTGTAAACTATATATATTGATGCCTCCCCAGATCAAAGTCTAATTAGCCCTACACTATATGCCAATTTTTAAGTAGTTCCTATATTTTTGATAACTTACTTTTTGTTCCATCATTTATGACGTGGAGAGCTTGCATGAGCATGATTGGATTTTGTTGAAATAATTATTCCAAATTTTTTATATGGTTTTTGTTTTATATTTTTCTGGCTTCCATGGTTCCAAAACGAAATAATTAAGCTGATTTTGGCATTCTTCATACTAAATGTTCATCTATAGAGAGAAGGTGAATGAAGGAGCAGACAAGGTCAATTTATATAATCGTAATGATATAAGTGAATGATTGAACATAGAGTAAGACAGTGTAAAAGTATCTCCTCTATCAAACATAGAGTAATGATTTTATTAGTTTGATCTTTTATCTTCAAGAAGTAAACCAATGTCAATATAGTGTTTCGGTAAGTTTGACACTACTGAATAATAAAATTAATTAATTTTGGAGTCGGACTTGGCCATATTGATGTGTGTATTAATTATGGAAATGTGTGCAGGTCTATTTATTTCCTCCCTTTCCAATGAAGCTCTATTTTCCTGTCCACTAATATTGCTTCTCTTCTCCTATAGAGCCATTTATAAACCTGATAATCATTTTTACCATCGTTTACATTTGTCAACAGTTATATGCTAGCATTTCCATTACCAGTTGACTAGATTCAATTTTCTAAGCACCGAGTTGGTCCACTAACTATTTTGCTGATAAATTTAAACACTGGTACTCAAATTGTTATAATTACCTATTGAGTATAAATATATGTATTAGTAGGAAAAAGTGTGGTGGTACTCAAATTGCGAAGAGGTCTGGTGTAACAACATTGCTAATGTTGTAGTATTTTCATTGCGTACTTTCTCCTTTATTGAGTTACTTTCTCCTTCGATTCTATATTTAAATTCACTACTTGGTAGATTAATTGATACTATGATTTGCAATGATAAAATTACAACCATAAAATTTTCTCAGAAGGTAAAGTATTCAAAATTCAAAGAAAGTATTACTTCATACTAAGATGGAAGGTACGATTGCAATCATTTATTTTTTCTCTAATTCTAATTTTCTAATAGTCTGATAGTTTTTGTTTATTACTGCTACGTTCTTCCTGAAGTGTCTCAGAATATCCATTCTCGACCAAATGCCTTTGATATGTCCAACCAAATCCCTTTGATTGGAGATGTTATTTCTGTCCAGCCCCCTGCAATTTGGTTGAATGTTCAGGTATCTTAACGCATAATAGAATGCCAAGATTTGAACATAACCAGATTAATTTATAAATTGCATTATGTTCGTTTACATAGCATGATTTGGAACTATGGGACAACATGTTATAGTTGCACATCATCAAATATCCTTGATATAAGTATTCACATAGGTTAAGTGCTTCTTAGAAAGAAAAACTAAACACCATCATAATGAAGAACTACCTTAAGTTTGAACATAGTCTGCTGCAATAATGTCAACTTGAACTATTTAGGATATATTAGATGTCGATCATGAGAATTATCAATGAACATCAGTTCAAATACTTTGTTAATTGTTTCCATAATTAGCTAGCCCTCTGGACACATGACATTGTTTCGATAAGTGATGGTTATGATATATTCTTGTGTTAAAGCTTAAAATAGAATATTCTTTGCATTTAAGATATTTTCCTTTTTTTTAATATTCTGGTAGTGTGTATAATTGTAACATAGGTATGCTTGTGTACCGAGTACTTATGATTATTCAGATTGATATGACTCACTACATAGTAGATATTTTTGTTTTGGAAGCATGTTGGTTAACTTGTTTTATTTTGCTAATATCAGCTTGGGAATAATCTGAACATGCGCTTTGCATTTTGGGGAGAATCGATTTTGATGCTCCCTTTTGCTATTCTAGGCTTAATCATGAAGCCTTTAGAGCTAAAAGGTACAAGGTTGCTTCTATGATACTTGTATTTAGCGTTGACTATGCTGCTTAATTTGTTTTTTGCACTTAAATGTGCAGGTTTTGGTTCGTGCAAATTTCCGAAAGAAAAAGGATATGGGGAAATGACTATTCTTGTGGTTGAAGGTGATGATACTTAGATATTTTCGTCATTGATATGTTTTTGTAGCTGAGGAGTTCATACCAGTTCCATATGCTTTGGCATAGGCTTCCATGTATGCATTCTTTATATGATTCGTTTATTTCAACAAAATGGCCTCCCAAAAACCATTGTGTCTTTTGAGCAATAAAACCTTTGAACTTAATTTGGGAAGTAACTCATTCTGAAAGATGGTTCTATTGTTTTTTATCTGTGGTAGACGTAACAACTAAACTGTTTCCATCCTACATTTTTTTGAGAGGTGCATCTTCTTTGAGCAGCAATTTATAATTTGTGGCACTTTGCTATGTTGTTAAGTGTATAACCGTTAACTCTCACCTCACATTCAGAGTTTTGGTGTAGGGGAAGAGACTTTTAACATGGTATCAGGACAACTCCGTTTCAAATCCCGCCTGCCACATACTTAAAATGGATTTAAAAAAAGGATACTACTACGAATCTAGGCTTCAGCCATGAAATGAATGCTCAACCCGCAGAGGAATGTTGTATAAAATTATAAGCCTCATCTCTACTTGTGTAGTGGAAGTGGCCTTAAAAACATATACATGCTGAAAATTAGTATTTATAATCAACTGATCTCTTCTTGCTACTTCTGTATTACGTAGCACATATGTTCGCATCTATTCAACACCAATAGGAAGCAACCATATCCTCAACACATGGTTAGACCGAGAGATTGTGGAACATTAAATTTTAGGAGAAATCCAACTTGAATAGAACTCTTACTTAACCTTTTCAATTAATTTGAGACCGTTGCTGAGTTGACTTTTTCTTCTTTAGTTGAACTTGATGTCTAGATTGATTACTAACTTTTATAAGCATATTTCAATTGGTTTAGTATGCAATGAGCTTAAGCAATTTTATTCGCATCAGCACAAGTAGTTTCCTCAATAAAGCCACAAGGCTAACGATGTTACTAATGTTGAAGGAGAACATAGTATATTTGTTTTGTTTGGAGATGATGAGGATATTTATTGGTAACAAATAGAGAACATAGTATATTTGTTTTGTTGTGCTTGTTAGTCAATGTTTGTTAGTAGAATATCAAGCTGCTCAAGCGAGCATGCCAAATTGAGTTTTAAATATTAGTCATGCAAGTAGTAGACCCACAACTTACTGTCAAAAATGGATGATGTGCCCTTGGATTTTCAAATCATCAGTGTAAGGTTTTTGCTGTTCTTTCTATTATCTTTCGACAAAACAAGCTCCGATGTTTAATTTTCCTTAACCATATTTAAGCTTTTCTTAAAATACTACAGATATGGCAATCTAAGCAGGGAATATAGATACCTCTTCTGGATAGAAAATTTTGAACATTACCAGTACGTATTAGTCTCTGATGTATGCTACTACATACCTTATTTGCTATCATGAATTCCTGTAATGTTTTGATTACTAGGCTATATGTAAAGGCATTAAAAAGTTTATTGGGATGCATGACTTAAGAAATTTCTTTAAGAAAAACTTTCTTTTATAGCAAAGGCATTAAAAAGTTTATTGGGATGCATGACTTCAGAAATTTCTTTAAGAAAAACTTTTTTCTGCTCTTAGCTCTCTAATTTGCTTTGTAGATAGCTGTTATTGTTACAAATTTATTCTTATCTGTATATCATTATCTTTTATCAGGAAAGATAATTCAAATGAAATCCAACAAAGGTTGCAAAGATGTTCTGAATGTGAATATCTTCAAACTAACTAAATTTGGTTTTCAATGGGTAGCGTGATTGGAAAAAGAAAATACAAGTGTCAAATTTCACAAGACAGGATTATTAGCTTTAAATTTTGGCTTAGTTATAGATCTCCCTTGCACTTAGCAAATATACAACAGAAGTTTTCACTATGTTCTCATTGTTCTAAAAGAAAATTCCATGTAACTATATCTGATTGACTCATTATTTTTTGTAGGTTGAAGTGAATGGAACAAGTTCTTTGTGGACAAAGATGGAAAAGTCATGGAAAGATATGCTCCGACAACATCACCTTTGAAAATGGAGGTACAACTTTAACCCACATAATTTTACATGGAAAGATATGCTCCGACAACATCACCTTTGAAAATGGAGGTACAACTTTAACCCACATAATTTTACTTCACTTTTATTTGTACTTATTATTGCAACTATATTTTATCTTTCAAAAAATAATACATAGCTTTTTGGGGTTTGCAGGAATTTAAGTGCCTTCTTTGAGGGACTATATTGCTCGTGATGCGAGTATGTGATCTTATGTACGCATAAAGGGATGCTTCTTCTAGAAAACTTGTATATTGCTGGAAATTCATTAGCTTTTCGTTGTATGTGAGAAATATTGTTTATTTTAATTATTGGCTTTCAACAATAAAGCTATGTTTGCAAGCTATCATGTTAACTCTTTTTTACTCTTATTGTATGTATATCGTCATGCTAATTGAAGATTTTACTGGTTTGTAATGTGATGCTAAATATTAGTTATTTACAGTTAAGATCAACTTACCTCTTCTTGATTGTGCAGTCACTTTTATCATGCGCACCATATATATGGATGATTAGGTTCCTTCTCTATGTACAATATTCTAAGTCCCGTGAGATAATGGTTAATTGGTATTCATCTTATGTATTGTGTATAAGTTCAATGCATAATTATGAAAACATTACGGATTTTGATTCATGTTGTTTCTTAATATGCATCACGTGCAACGCACGTATTGCATACTAGTTTTCCATAAAAATTGTGAAACAAACAGCCCCCAAATTTAGTCTTCAACACCTGAGAGGAGCAACAAATTCCCCTCCTCACTACCACTCCAACAAATGGGTTAATTGTTGATAGATAGCAGCATATTGTGGTTTAGAACTTACTACCTCCATAGTTCTATTCTGTAGATAGACCCCATGAAAGAACAATATTTTGGGTCTCTTTTAGCCACAAGGTTATTTGTCAAATCTTTTTTTTTTTTTTGAGGCTAAAAGAGTAATAATAATAATAATAATTCACTTTTCGTCGTCTATACACGAAAACTAAACTAGAAGAATAGTGAGCTGTTCAGAAAAGAACAATAATCCAGGGGGTCTATCGGCAATTAAACCCCAAACGAATCCTCCACACAAAACCACACCAAAAAAAACAGAAAACCCCACAAAAAATATCTAACTCAAATGTTTACCACATTCCCTCCTAATCTCCCCTTTCCTCCCCCTCTTCACCCCATGAGACCCCATCTTGTCCATCCCCTCCACAAACGCCTCGAAAAACCTGCCCTTCTCTCTCCCCATCTCCTCAACCAAATCCTTAGTCCTCGGATCCAACCACAGACCCTGATCCGTACCCAAAACCCCCAACTTATTCTCCAGATTCCCATAATACCCATTATCAAACGCGAACGGAGTCTGCACGTCCAAGGGGGATACGACGTCGCCGTTCCCGCCTGTAACGGCGGCGGCAGTACATCTGGAGGGACTTGAGGAGTCGGGGTCGACGGAGGGGTCGGGTCTGCCGGTGCTTTGGTAGTTGTAGAGGCGGTCGAGGAACTGGTCGCAGTGCGCGAAGCCGATGAGTCGCGCCCTGGAGAGCGGCGACGAGGTCTCGGGCGGTGAGGCCTTTGGAGGAGAAGAGGGAGAGGAGGGAGGAGATCGAGGAGTTTGAGCGCGGGAGGTGGTATTTGACTTTGAAGGGCTTGGATTTTTTGCTGTCTTTTCTGCCCTTTTTTACTTTGTAGTATGGGCCCCCTGCCTGCATGAAAAGGGTGGCAATTTTGTCTGAGTTTGGAGTGACATTGGAAAACTAAAGTTTTTTCCGCACCCGAAGGAAAACAACGGGCCCTTAGCTAGTAAGCGCCTTTCTCACAATTTATGCCGGTGTTTTCTCCTCTAGAACAACAGAAGGAAGGGCCAATGGCACTTGAATACCCTATTGTTTCACTAACTTTACATTTAAATACCATGAGACATGAGTTGTAAAAAACAAAGCACAAAAATATCTTAACACTGCTAGAAAATGAACTATTGTCGACGGAACTTTAGCGACGGAAAATTCCGTCGCTATAAGTCATGTTATAGCGACGGATTTTTCCGTCGTTATTTTTCCGTCGGTAAAAAAGTTTTACCGACGGAATTTTCACTATTGGCGACGGAAAATTTCCGTCGCTATTTATTTCCCGACAGAAATTTTCTGTCGGGAAATTTCCGTCGCTAAATGGGTTTTAGCGACGGAAACTTCCGTTGCTAAAACACAAAACTGCGAAATTTTTTTGGGCGCGGGCGTTTTTCTCTCCGTTCTCCCAAAAAAATTCATCCCCCGCCAAAAAATTCATCCCCGAAAATTTCATCACCCTCTCAAATCCCTAACCCCCTCCACCCCGCACCCTCTCAAGTCCTCAAAAATTTCATCACCGCGCACCCTCATCTTTGCCGGCCAACGCCTCCCCTTCCACCTCCCTCATCTTCGCCGGCGCTCTCGCTCCTCTACCGGTGCTCTCTTCGTTGTCATCTCCAGGGCTGGCCCTAGCTTAAGGCAGCTGAGGCTTCTGCCTTGGCCCACGCACCCGCTACTTTCTCTTTCTCCCACTCCCGCCGCCTCATCTCTCAGACTCAAACATTCGGCTTTTGTAGTAGTTTGATACGGTTTTGGAGATTCATAGGGTTTGGAGATTCTTGATTATAGCTGGATCGGAGCTCATTGAGGTCGATTTTGGTTGTTAGGGTTTCGATTTGGATTCGTGCTGTGTTTGTTGTTTTTGCAGCGACTGGAGGACGAGGAGATGTTGCTTCCTCTCACTCGGAGCATCAGGTTGAAGGGCCTCAGCCCATCGAAGGTAAAGTTCGGTTGGTTGATTTCTTGATTTGGTGATTTCGATCCCAGATTTTGTCTTTGTTACTTGTTGTATCCGTATTTTATCGTGAATTTTGTGTGTTAGGGTTTAGTTTTTACTAATTTTCAGTTCTTAGTGTTGGTTGTCAGTTTGAGTGGACTGATTTTCATGATTTTATTTTCATGCTAAAATTATTATTCGGAAGTTTTTTCTGTGGGAAGTTGCAAATGATATTATACTGATCTCCTGCTTTCAGTCTTTAGTAATGGAATTACGGATGGGAAAAATTTTGGTCGTGATATTTTTCCTGTTATGCATCAATAGGCAGCTGCTAGTTTTCCCCATGGGAAATGATGTGGATCACTTGTCTATGTATCTGGATGTTGCTGATTCAGCAAGCTTGCCTTATGGTTGGAGCAGATTCACACAAATTCAGCTTGGCTGTTGTCAATCAAACGAACAAGAACAACTCTGTAATGAAAGGTACAGTTTGGTTACTCCCATTCCTCAATGGAAAATCCTTAATCTTAAGTTTAGTTTAGTCTGTACATCTTTTTTGGCATTGACATTCATGGATCACACTGCCCTTCTGTCACGAAACACTGCATAAGATATAATCTATCATTGAATAGTATGATTGTGGATTTCATTAAACTTGAAAGTCACTGGACGAAGAATTAACATGATTTATTTGTTTAATGTTGTCCAGGCTTTGAACTTCAGTTACAACATTCAATTATAAATACTTTGATTGTATAGAGGAGGAAACTAGACAACTGCCATCTACCTTGTGTCTACAACATATAACTCATTGGATGAGGTATAAAACATATTTGCAATGTTTGTTTAGGTGTTACTGGCATGCAGTCCGGTTGGTGCAACTAAATAAAGTGGTCTAATTGCATATCTTTTATTAGATAGATCTTTTATGGATTTGCAAGGTCATGCTTACATTATGTTTCAAGTTAAAGAATCCAAGAGCATATAATTCCTCTATGATTCATGTTTAATTAGATGTTGGTTGCAAGATGCTCGTAGTCATAGAATATGTGATTAAGAGTTTCAGGGATTAGGATTAGTTGCTTCTGTTTCATTGTGATATGTTATTTGGATTAGTTGCTTTTGATTTTGTGCTAGTTAGTTGATCGCAAACGTAGAAATATTAGAATTTGATTGTGGCTAAGTAGTCTGTTCAATGGGAATCCATGTTTCTGCTTCTCTTTTCTTTCAGTCACTGTAATGTTTCCTAGCCATGCCACTGGTTGTAATTCAGTTGCCAAGGAGTTATTAAAGGTCAAATATAGTCAAGTTTTTTTTATATGTATGCAGAAATGAAGTTTCAGAAGTATGGTAGAACTGGTCAATACAAATCAAATAGTATCATCAATGGTTTTCTCTCCTGGTGTTATTAAAGGTCAAATATAATCAACTTTTTTTTCTCACTTAAAAGAGTTCTCTCTGAACAGGATGCACACAAGTACACTACAGCTTATCTGAACGATTAAATTAAAGGAAGTTGGTCTGATATGCTTTTATTAGTTCTAAGAGATGAGTGGAGGAACTGTAAGAGAGGTAAGATTGAAATATTGTTGAAATTAATTGAAGGATTCATGTTTACTTCATTTATAAACATTCTAACTTATTTAACCAGCTATCGAGGCTTTATCACCTCAACGAGACCCAAAATCCATTCTTTTGCCACCACGAACATGCTCGTCCGAAGGTTAGTTATGTTGAAATATAATTAACTTGTGCACATCTTTTACTTGCATTTTAATTATGGTTGGATATGGGCACATATTATGTTATCTAGATAGATTTTCATTTCAGCTTTGTAGCATTCCAGGTGACTCGTCTTTTGCTGCTAGAGAAAGAATGTGCGAGGTGGTGAAGGTTGGTTTCTTTCACCTATCTTCCCTATATTTTATTGCCATAAATTCATAAAATTTATCTATGCTGCCCCCATTCTCTGCATAGGCATGCACGAAACATGACCTACATAGTTATGGTCATGCTTACTTATTAGTCTGGATTCAGGCTCATTTGGCTTTGTTGCTGTCCTTAGGAAACATGACTGATATGTATCTATGTATCTATGTTTCTAAGTGCCATCACATGTGTTGTCCTCTTTGCTGCTTGAATGTGTGGAAGGGTACTGGTTCTGAACTCTGCTAAGGGGTTTTGGTTTGTCTTAAAAGAAAAGGATACAATGGCACTGCTAAATGGTTGATTATAGGGATTTACTGGACCTTTCTATTTTCGCTTAAACTTGGCTAGTGAGCTAGAACTCTTGAAGATGACAAATGAATTAGTTACAATCAGGAAGTCAATGGAAGAATACAAGTAGGAGACTTATTGACATTGGTTATGGGATTTCATGGTGTTCTTAATTTTTAGAATTTTCACTTGTAGAAGAATCTGAAAGAATACTAGAAAACTGGAGTTTGTGCTGGTAAGGGTACCAGTTCTAAACTCTGTTATGGGGATTTTGGTTTCTCTTAAAAGAATAGGATGCAAAGGCACTGCTAAACATACATACAATGGTTGATTGTAGCATATATTCTCCAAAACTTGTACACTATTACAAGGGGCAATTTCAAGAGCTTACCATGCTTTATTGTTTTCAGGTGTTTGTACTTCAGCGCCAACTTCTAATTTTCTTTTATTTATTGCGCGTTGAACTGATCGGTTGAAGTTCTCATAGGAACTCCATGTATTTTTTTTGTTCTCCATGGAAGGTTATTAGCTAATACTTATAGTTTGAAATATTTAGATGAAGCAATCCCTTGTAGAATAGTGTTCGAGAGAGGAAAAGAACGCCACCAGAGATTTTTAGCGATCTCTAAATATTACTAGTTCAACAAACACATTTCATGACTTAACTGATCTGGTAATGCAGTCCTCTAGAACGATAATTTTAGCGGGATTTATTACTTATTTAGTTTTGGTTTGATAATCATTCCGTAGGCGTATAATTAGCTTTTCTATCTCTTACACTTCTACTAATTGGTTGGTGTGGAGTGTGGTGGGTGGGTGGGTGGCGACTTTGGTCGTGGTTGAGGGGGGCGCGGATTTGGTGCGTGTATGCGTGCGTGCATATACGCGGGCATGCGTGTATATGAGAATATGTGTGTGCGTATAATACATAAGAATATGTCATGATACTCTCTTTTATTGCTATACTTGCATGTCATACCATGTTGTTAACGTTTGATTTATATTAAATTTGCAGGCCTGGACTTCTAGACAAGGTGGAGCTGGTGATGAGGATGATCATGATCAGAATGACTAATTTGTTTTTTTACCTTTGAAAACAATGAGTGCGTGTGCTGTATAAACAATATTTATCATGGTGTGTGTTGTGTTGTATAAATAATTATAATTATGTTGGGATATTTTTACTAAAATATATGTGTTATATATGCGTGGGAATGAATATTATACTGATGATTGAACATGATTTTAAATTTATTATATTATTTTACAGGTTTTTCAATTTTCAAAATAATTTTTTTTAAAAAATATTGGAAATATTTAGCCACGGATTAGTTGTCGCTATAGAAGCTTTTAGCGACGGAAAACATACACGGGGACATTCTAATAGCGACGGATTTTCCGTCGCTAATGTTACTTTTAGCGACGGATTTTCCGTCGCTAATTCTTCTTTTAGCGACGGAAAATCCGTCGCTAATAAATTTTTCTTTTTTAAAAAAAAATAGAACGACGGATTTTCAGTTGCTAATTTTCCGTCGCTGTTTTTTAGCGACGGAAAATCCGTCGCTAAAAGTAATTTTAGCTACCCTCAATGTACTGACGGTATTTTGGCGACGGAATTTTATTTTTTCCGTCGCTAAAACTTTTAGCGACGGATTTTTGCCTTTTAGCGACGGATTTGTCCGTCGCTAAAAGTCCTGTTTCTAGTAGTGTAAACTGTCCACCGTTAGAACCATTAAAAACTACTCTCCATTGAAATGGCAATAATAAACTGAAGAGGTAGGTAAATTTGTAATTAAAGCAACAAATGGGGTCAAGTGCTAAGCACATGAGAATATTCATGAGAATATTTTAACATCCAACTAACAGAAGGTAGCAACGTGTTACTTTTGAACAACTTAGGGTATTTTTGTGCTACTTCTGAACAATTTAGGGTATTTTTGTGCTACTTTTTACAACTCAAGATATTTGAAGTGTAAAGTTAGTGAAACAATAGGGTATTTAAGTGTTGTTTAGCCCAGAAAGAATAATAACTTGCTATATTCACGACCTTTTACTTAATTTGTAGATTCCTACCTCAAATTTGTGCATTCTTTCGCCTCTTTCAAGATTGAAACCGGTAGCGTACTATATGTTAAAATCCAGTTTTATGTACCAAAAATTCGAATTTGTGATGAGAATTGAGGGTTATAATTTTGTATTCTAACATGCTTTCGCAAATTGAGCTGTACTTTCATAGACCAAAATGTAATTCCAAATGAGATTTAAACATAGACTTGACATCATTAAAGATTTCTTTTGCTGTATCAGAACTCTATAGCATGGCGAAGATTGAAGGTTATGATTTTGTCCGCTAACACTACCTACCATTTGACGGAGAGAGATTATATATTTGTCAATAATAAAGTTTTCTCTGTCACATTTTGAAGAATTTCGGGTCATATGAAACTAGAAGCTTATAGAGTACTGCTAATTAAACTTACCAGATGAATGAAATCCCGGGCAGCAATGGCGAGGATATCGGCACAGGAGACCGCGCCCGGGCATTTGCTCTCCACCACTTTCTTCGCCATCTCGACCGTCTCAAACCCCTCCGGAGGCAAATTCTTGTTCTCCGGCATGTTTCTCTCCACCAATGCCGATCCCTCCGCTCCCGGGGCTATCAATATCGATGCATCACATCCCTATATATATACAATGCAATTCAATTCGTAAAGTATTTACGAGTTTTAAACTATTGGATTATGAGGTAACAATAAAATATCAAGGATTATTAGAATATCAAATATCCTTTAGACTAGTGAAAGAGCTTTGCTTGAAAAGATAGAATTAATACAAAGAGATACCCAAATAATATGTATTTTATTGATAGATGGAGGAATTGGTCCCATTTATTATGGGCTCTGGATTTTCTTCACTATCAAGAAATTAATATTAATGCAGAAACACTAATTTTAAGCATAATTGCCTATTGTTTAGTGGACAATTGTGATTAATTTGAGTGAAAAGTAAGAAATGAATGCGATACAAGAAGATATCTATATCTTCTTTACCAAAATTCGAAATAAATCATAATTGTTCATCAAATTATAGACAATTGTGATAAAAAATAATGATTTATCCACTAAATTTTAGTAGGGTAGAGTATCCAAATCCAAAATCATGCTCATGAAGGATCTAGTAAACTTATTTTCGATTACGAAGGCTACCGTTTACAAGATTTAATTGATATCAAAGGCACAAAATTCAACAAAGTCAGGCTGATTTACGACTAATTCACATGAGATAACCCAAGAGCATCGTCTAACAAAATATATCGCTATGCATATATGGACCTAGGCAAATTAAACATCATCTATCTAAAATTTCAAGCTTTTAAATTCAAAAGATGAGATGAAGTAACGATTGAGCACACACACCTCAACAAAACAGTCATGAAAGAAGAGCCGAATGGTGGCCGGGCCGGCGACCGGAGTCTGCTTGAATCTCGGGCCCGTGACTGAGCCCACCAGGTCATCAAGCTGAGGGCATGTCTTTGAGTAGTAATCAATAGTGAGAGGGTGATGAAGAGGAGCTTTTATTTTAGTGATGGTGATATTATTGTCGGAGCATTCAACAATGGCGACAAGATATGAGACGAAATAGAAGCAAATCATGAGGAGAATAAAGGTTAGATTGCGAGTAGCTGAAGGAGAAGATGAAGAGGGAGAAGAGACAATAGAAGAAACAAGGGACATCTCTCTCTGTGGCTCTCTCTCCTGTAGAATTGGCAACCAACACTTTCGCCAAAAGTGCCACATGGGGGATCTATTTGTATTTTTCGGTAAATTATTTCAGTACCCAAGTTTTGAGGTAGATTTGTTATTGCGCCAGTATAACCCAAGTTACAACTTGAATTATTTTAGTACATAGTACAACAACACAACCTACCAAGTGAAAACATGCTCTTTGTAGTAACTATTTATTTTTCTATCAATTAGTATTTCAATTTTTTTTTTTTAGAAAAGGTCTGGATCTGAAATCTATTCATAGTGAAGGATAATTGATATTTACGGACAAAGGTTCGATCAGTTAAGTGATAAATGATAAAATTGAATTGTTCGAGGCTGACCCAAAAACATTTAAAAGGTTCTTTTTCCCAGACACGTTCTAGCAAATTTATTGAAAATCTTACATCCATATAGTAAACACGTACTTCTTACAAAAACATGCTATACTTTATTTTAATAACAAAGTGCTAGCTATATTCATTTCAAGTTCGATTTTTTTTTGGAAATAATTAAGTGGGTATAAAAGTAAATCATTTTCATAATTTGGGTGAAAGAGCAAAAAATTTCATGTTTTTACCCATAAATCCCAGGTGGAAATTATGGAGAATCTGCGACCCGTGAAGTTAGAAATGGGGAAGAGCTAGCAAGAGCATGCATTTATATATTATCTTTTTTTGTTAACTTTGCATTTATATATAACTACCATAATAAAAAGGGATGGATCCGATGAGAATGGGCCCCATTTTGCTGTGACGTTGCTCGCATGAAGTTGTGGACCATCACTTAAAAAAGGACTATTGTAACAAAATGGCCTTGCGTTGTCAGAAATTTTTTAAAGAATCACGGGCCAACACTCAGTTGGTCAACTAATGTTTTCGGCCTAACCAGACTGTCTCTCTCCTGGCCATTATAAGCATTTTGATTTCTTTGATCTAGTTTACGCACATTATCCATTGGGGTAGGGGGGGATTAGAAATCTCATCACCTGCCTTGTTGAGTACATCTTTTAATATTTCGAAGTCTTTTTAGTGAAGTGATATGTAGCTATATATCCCCTTAGTCTCATTAGTAAGAGTCTAGAGAAACAAGCCAAAACTATACAAGAAGTATCTAGTCCTTACTAGCCCTATAAGGGGCCGTTTGGATGCCTTTAGGAAACGAGGGTATTTATGACACCAAATAGAAAGTGGTTATCCACCTCACAACTTTCCATTCGAGTGTTTACATTGTTTGGTTAGGAATCTTTGTGAATCCTAAAATAATAGTATTACATATTGTTTGGTTAGGAATCTTTGTGAATCCTAAAATAATAGTATTACATTGTTTGGATAGTATAATGTAAATTAGAGTATTTATGACACAAAATGAATCCTAAAATAATAGTATTACATTGTTTGGATAGTATAATGTAAATTAGAGTATTTATGACACAAAATAGAAAGTAGTTATCCACCTCACCACTTTCTACAATGTTTTGACTATTTTATTATTATTTTGGACACAATTATGATATTATGTCAGCTTTCCAACAAAATCACTCTTAATTTTGGTGATTTTGCTTTCAGTGACACGTCATCAAAATGTGTAAGCTTTTCATGTAAAAAAAAAAAATTTAAACAAACAATGTAAAATGATGAAAGCTGACATTGGGATCCACTTTTTTACACTTTTTATCCTTTTACATGGTAAAAACAAACAACCAAACAGCCCCTAAATTGCCCGATATATAACATCACTTTATCTAAAGCACGCCCTGCTCATTCTATTTGTAACAATCTATTTATTTCTCCAGCAAAGAACACGTTAGAAATACCATTGCATGAAACCGACACTTTTGATTTTACTTGTCATTCCATAGTCTTCATCAATCTATCACTTGTGGATATGTACCTCACATCGATAAGCCTAGCCCCTAGCAATTTTCCATCAATAAATACAAGATTTCTTCTTTAGAAAGTCCATCTTCGATCATCTGTCTATAAATTATGGTGTACTTAAAATGATTGTAACCTAAGCATTGTATTTGGACAAGATGGGATTATTATTTTGCACGACCACATGGTTAAAACAAGGAAAACGGTAGTTGTAGGTTCTAGGTTCCGGCTTAAATCATTATATGGCTCATAACTTTTACTAAAATATTAAATATTTACAGAAAGGGGAACAAATTAAGGTACATACTACATAATATGCTATCCATATTTTTTTTTTAATCTTTTACTTGAGCAAGCATTATTGAAACTCAAGTCATACGCAGTTCTATGAAAGGATAAGATTAGAGCCTAAGATTTCCTGGAAAGCTAATAAATATTATTATGCACATAATACACGTATTCTTATGGGATTTTGTTGTATACAAAATGGGTGCTTTTTGTTTGTGAGCAGACTGTGATTGTGTAGAGAGAAGACTTGCAGGTGAGCATGTGGGAGTTTGTGCTGTTGGCTTGGCAGGATTAGGAGAGTATAGTTAGGCTAGTTTTGGAGTGTAGCTAAGCTTGGTTTGTGGTTCGCCAGTTGAGACAGAGAGAGGCCAGAAAGTTAACATGCCCCATGAGCATAAAACAAGATTAGTCCATGGATAATGGTGTACTTGAGTGAAAAAGGAAATATTATAAGCTCACAACCTAGTTTAGTCTAAAATGGTAGGTAGACCCTGTTATTAGCAAACAAAATGATTTTTGGAATAGATTCGATTCTATTCCTATACTTGAATTAAGGGAAAATTGCTTCAAGGTCCAAAAATTCAAAAATCAATGTGCCCCAGCCCCCTTACTTTTACCAATGTGCTGCAGAGTGCAGCCCCTAATTTTTGCAAAATTTGTCCTCAGGTCCATCCAGCTCACCTCTCCCCAAGTTCCAATGCATTTTATTTAAAATCTTAATTTTACCCTCTCCTCTACACCTCCCTCCTCCTCCTCCTTCGA